AAAACCCTTTTTTGGATCAATATCTGTAAAATTTAGGTTTAGAAAATTTTTCTCACACCATTAGTTATATCAAAAAACGTTCCAAATTATTTTCCCCCCTTACACTGGGGGCTCCCCTTACACAAGAGGCTCCCCTTACACTGGGAGCTCCCTTTACACTGGGGGCTCCCCTTACACTGGGGGCTCCCCTTACACTGGGGGCTCCCCTTACACTGGGAGCTCCCCTTACACTGGGAGCTCCCCTTACACTGGGGGCTCCCTTACACTGGGGGCTCCCCTTACACTGGGGGCTCCACTTACACTGGGGGCTCCACTTACACTGGGGGCTCCACTTACACTGGGGGCTCCACTTACACTGGCGGCTCCCCTTACACTGGGGGCTCCCCTTACACTGGGGGCTCCCCTTGCACTGGGAGCTCGGGGCAAATTGCCCCCTCTGCCCCCCTCTGACAGGCCCTGTATACAGGATTTTGTGCATCGCGATAGAACTGTATATTGAAGGGGTTTTGTAGATGGAAATTTCGAGAACAAAATTAGATACATTTTAGACCTGAGCGGAAGCACGCATGCAGCTGCGACAAATGCAACCATATAAGGCCTACCTTCTTTTTAAATTTGTCCTGTTGTTGGTTCATCTGTCCTTGCATATCGCCCACCATTGCCATACCTGGAACGCGAGTTTATAGTTACACACAAAAACTATGCACGCGTATTTTGTGAGGGGATATGCCTCCTTATCATGCATCCTGGCTGCATGGTACATCATATGGTTGACAGGCTATCCACCCTTTGGTGAAGGTGAAATTCAAGGACTTTCCCAGGACTTCAGGGCCCTTTTTCAGTAAATTCAAGGATGGCACGCATTTGCCGCTCTTTGAAATAACAAAATCACTAATGTTGACACAGCTGGAGGTACAGATTTTCAAGGACTTTCCAGTCCTGAATTTTTTGTTCCATTTCAAGGACTTTCCAGGATTTTCAAGGCCCGTGGACACCGTGGGTTGATATTTCGGCACGAAGATCGTTCTGACATGGTGCGATCAGCCTTCGTACAACCGGTCCCTGAAGGTTAATTGGTTCTGAAATACAGTGCTATCAAGGTTCTGAACGCTTCATAAAGTTCTTCCCTATGAACGTTTCATAATGAAACAAGTAAAGGAAAATTTGTTACACATTCTTTGTAGGTTTGCATGACGATAAAACATATAATACTTTTTGTTTGTGGAAACACCGCGTACATTTAGGCCAAATAAAAAAAAATACTTGGTTAGCGTCACCGCCCGCCTCTCGATTTTCTGCCGCCTCTGAATTTTTTTTTATTTTTTTTTATGTAAATCTCTTCGTTTTACAGCTTAAAACAGTTTAATATTTGAAATTTTTCTCATGCTCAGACCTTCGCGCTATATACTGATCGATAGGAGCGCATAGGCTTGGGTATACAAGGTTCTTAAAGCAAAATGGCGGCCTTCGCAACATCAGTACAAAAAATATCACCGATATGGTGGGAAAACCGCCCCCCATCCCCTCCAAAAATACTATTAAAAAATTAAAAAACGAGTAAAAATTTAAAAAAAAATCCGCCCGCCCGCCTCTGAAAATTTGTGAGAGTGTGACGCTAACCAAGTATTTTTTTTTATTTGGCCTTATTACTGAAATTACCCCCCCCCCCAAAAAAAAACAAACTTTGTTAATGAAAACTTGTGTGAAAGAAAAGTTGCTCATCTAGATAGGAAAGAAAAGTTGCTCATCTAGATAGGAAAGAAAAGTTGCTCATCTAGATAGGAAAGAAAAGTTGCTCATCTAGATAGGAAAGAAAAGTTGCTCATCTGGATAGGGGTATACCTTGTTCTTTCGCTTTGTTTGCTTCTTCCATGGCTTGCTCTTTTGCTTTGTTTGCTTCTTTCATCGCTTGTTCTTTCGCCTTGTTAGCCGCTTTCATGGCTTGCTCTTTCGCCTTGTTTGCCGCTTTCATGGCTTGCTCTTTTGCTTTGTTTGCCGCTTTCATGGCTTGCTCTTTTGCTTTATTCGCCATTTCCATGCCCTGTTCTTTCATTTTATTCGCCATCTCCAAACCTTGGTTCTTCAGTTTGTTTGCCATTTCTAATCCCTGACCTTATAAAATAAAGTTTAAAATGTCATCATCGTGAGGGTGTTTTATTTTATCGTTCGGTGACGGTGCCTATTTGCCAGAGGAATACATGCATCTCATTGGCAGGTGACGTCATCCCTTGGGTATTTATTAAAAAGCCACGATTGCATCTTTAGATCACCCCTGATGGAGACACTAGACTGGAGTGTCGAAACGTTGGGTCTTGATTACAATTCGACTGGGCTTTGTAATCATTTATTTAAACCAGAACAGAGACGGATTTTCATATTTTCGTTCGGGGGGTGGGGTGGATAAATATCTGGGGTGTGGGGTGCTGCTGCTTGCTTTGGCCGGGGCCTGGTGGCAACGCCCGGAATGGCCAAGGAAAAAGTTTAACAAAATTTGTTTTCTAGGCCTGCATTGCGAGATCTGAGACCACAATATTGGTAATTTTACAAATTTAGTAGTAAGAATAATCAAATATGAAACTATCAAATCAAAATATATATAATTTGCGGGGGTGCAAAAACTTTTGGGGGTGGTGCCATATCTACCTACATGTATGCGTAGATATCAAGGTTTTGTTGGCATTTCACTCGATTGAATAATATTGAGGGTTTTGTAGATAAAAATACTATCGAGTGGAATAATTATCACTTATTTACTGAGACCGAGGCAAACAGTGCGTTTTGTGGACCCGAGGCGAAGCAGAGGGAAACATCGACGGTCGAGGGTCCACAAAACACACTGCTTTCCCGAGGTCTCAGTAAATAAGTGTTTTATTATATATCAATAGTCAAAGAAACAACAAATTAAAGAACAAATGAACGTAAATACATGAAATATTTTATTGTTAAAACGTTATATTAATTTAAACACTGGCTACACTGCAGTTACTTAAAGCGAAAGTTTTAATTACGTACTAGGCATGTCCAAAGGTCGCATCTTCACGTGATGGCGCACGTGATTTCGCCGGTCGATAACGTATTATCTCCCTCTCGCGCTGTTGCGAGGGAGACAGCCTAATTTCGTCACTCTCACGTGATATGCTCTCAACCAATAAAACACTAGAAAAATGCGACTTTGACTATTGATATATAATAATTCAAATTATTATACATTGTAGTTGGTAAAAGCAATTTGATTGGCTAAGAGCTTACAGTTAAATCGCGCAATCACGCAACCTACACAAAATTCAGTTATCTGCTAGCAGATAACTGAATTTTGTGTAGGTTGCTCAGTTATCTGCTACTCAGTTATCTGCTAGCAGATAACTGAATGTTGTGTAGGTTGCGTGAAATTGAATGAGTGTACATTTCAAATGAGTGTACATTTCAATTTTCGAATGAATGTACATTTCATAATTGTAATGTTTACTTTAACAAGTAAATATTTTAATACGTTAACATCTTAACGATAATATGTTTCTTTTATATTTGTAATTAATTTAACTGTTGGACTTCCGGAGACTGTTTATAGAAACGTTTAACTTGAACAGCTTTGCCAGAAATCATATTGAATATAACGCTTACCGAGACCTTGATAATTTTGCATATCGCAAAAACCGATTCAATAATTGTTTTATTATACATTTGAAGAATAATAAACATAGTATTAAAATACTAATGTTTATTATTCTTCAAATGTATAATAAAACAATTATTGAATTCGGTTTTTGCGATATGCAAAATTATCAAGGTCTCGGTAAGCGTTATCAGCCTCGCCTTCGGCTCGGCTGATAACGCTTACCTCGACCTTGATAATTCCGCATATCACAAAAACCTCATCCAATAATTGTTAATTATTACTTTGTAATAACTGTTAAGGACTATCTGGCGAATTTAATAAATTAAATTAAATTTCCAATCGTGATAATTTCAATTCGACAACAAAACGCACCAACTATGGTTAATAAAACATTTCACAAACCTTTTAGGTTATTCAGCATGCCCATGCCTTGCCCTTTAAGATTGTTTAGCATTCCCATACCCTGACCTTTCAGATTATTCAACATTCCCATGCCTTGTCCTTGCAAACCCGCCAGCATGCCCATTCCTCCACCTAAACAAAAATATACAATATGTAAGTTTTAGTATTGGTGAATGGACAACTTGCATGTTAGACTAAATTTTAATCTAAGTAAAAAGAAGGGAATCAAACACCACAAATTAGTAAAATTGCAAAATTTGGTTGCGAAATGTTGTAAAGCTTGGAAAATTTTGCAAATTTTGTATATATGTTTGTATTACGGGCGGAAATTCTGACCATTTTCGGCTCAAAAATGGTAACATTTTCCGCACGTAATACAAACATATACAAAATATGCAAACTTCGCAAGGCTATATTTTCCGTATTCTACAACATTTCGTAATCAAATTTTGCAATTTTACTCATTTTAATAAGTTCTTTACGGGAATTTACTTTTTTTGCCTAGATAAAATATTAGTCTAACATGCAAGTTGTCTATTCATTGTAAGCGCTACAGGGCAGCCGACGAAGGTCAATTTCAGAAATCCTCAATCATCTATTTGCCATCAAATAGAAGACTACATAACATACAGGGTGTGTTACTCACCTTTTACAATACAAGGTGTCCCGCACAATGCAATAGGTATGTTCCAGATTTTTATATCGCTAGTTTTTAGTGGTATCGAAAATTTAATGTGAGAGATGAATTTTGACACTAAGGGACCTGGGGGGGGGGGGGGGGCGCGGAAGAGAATTGTTTTTCGTGGCAAAAATTTTGCTGACCCAACATTAAAAAGTCAAAAATTTTATTACCCAGCCTTAATTATCAATTAAAAAATAAACACCCACTCCTGGCCAACAATTTTACAAAAGGATACCACACATGTCCTTTACCACTCTTCTGACCTGAGTTTGATAAATGTTTGTGCAATTTTCTGCAGTCTAAAGTTTCACATGTTGTCTGCACATGTAGTTTCTTTGGAGACTGACATATGACTGTTGACATTCCTTTTTAGTGATCAATACTTGCATGAGTGAGTCATGCTTTGAAAATGACAATAAATTTTTATTACCCAACCCTTGAGTAGTTTCGTTTTTCATTTACCCAACCTTTTACTTACTCAAAATTTGGTTTACCCAACCCTTTCTCTTCGGTGCCACCCCCGGCCATAAATAATGACCCGTCCCTAAGATTAATAAAAGGAAGATCAAGGCAATGGACACACATTTATCATATGTCATTTTGTGAACAATATAATTACCTAATTGTGCCTGTAACTGACCAAGCAAGCCTCCAACGACATCACCGCCAATTTCTCCTGCCTCGCCAGGGATAGATCCAGTTTTTAGACTGTTTGCAATATCTTCAAGTCCAAGCTTCACAATAGTTTCAGCTTTATATCAATAAAACAATCACGATTAGTATATAAACGAAGGATTCTTGGAGGTTTTTCAGTGCGATCTGTATATATAATTAACTATAAGTAACTATAAACCCTCTGGCAGGAATCGAATCAGCGGCCCTGCAATTCTGGTGCAGCGCTCTAACCAAATCAGGGACGTGCTGGCTAGGGACGAGCCGACGAGAACCTGTTGTGGGCCCATGCCATCATGGGCCCCTAAATTAAAACATTGGAAAAGACGAAAAATATAGATTTTAATTTTGAATATCAAGATTAAGACATTACAACTTATACTTTAAAAATCTAAATTTACGAATTAATATTACCGAAAAATGTAACAAATTACGGCACGTCAATTCGAAAATTAGTGAAAAATAGTATGTCGGGAAAATTGTTTTAACCCCCCCGCCAACAATTTTGGGGAAAAAAGATGAATTAGCGACTGAAATTAGTCCCACCCAAATCTTAATCTATCCGTCACTGGGCCCAAGCCCCATCCGACGTTCCTCATTCGTCGTCCTTTTCAAGACCCCAGCACGTCCCTGAACCAAATGAGCTACACAGTCCAGTTGTCGAGCTCTAAGTTCGTGTATATATACTAAGGTGATGCCATTGTAAGATGTATGGGGAAATATCAGGACTTTGGGCATCTACACTCGATAGAACTAACTGTAAAAAGATTTTGTAGATGGAAATTTCGAGTGTGAATTTTATACATTTTAGATCTTTGGAGGAGTTGTGAAAAATGCAACTGGAAAATATAAACCAAGGTAATTTCTCTTTTTCTTAAAAATTGCTTTACTTTCGAAATATTTTTCTGCGATGTAAACTGTGAAGACTTTTTCTGGGTCCCCACCCCAGTTCACCTGGGGGTGTGAACTGTAAAGACTTTTTTCTGAGTGTTCACTTAGGAAGACCATCTTTCCTACTCCAATGCCAGCCACCTCACACAAGCTCAGTTTTACCACGACAATCCTATGACTATTTGGAGGTGTACTCCCTTCCCCATATTGGTACCCTACATTATAATGAAGACCATCTTACCTACTCCAATAACCGCCACCTCACACAAGCTCAACTGCATATCTTCTCGATCGATTCTGATATTCACATAACGTCCTACAGTAGTATTCTTGCACACAATTGTCCCTATCTTTCCCGGTTGTACAGTATACAATGGATGACACAGCGGGTTATCGTTCCCCTCATTATCAAGACTGTTCCCCACGCGTACTTCGAAGTCAAACATGTCCCAGCCATATCTGTGCTCTTGGTTGGAGATGAATATTTCCTTGACATGATATGAACGACGTAGGTCAATACGAAGCCAGGGCGACGATTGGCGTTGAGTGCGAGTACAGGTTTCTGAGAAATTACAAGGGATATTAATTCACAGAATAAGGAGAATTTAATTAAGAGGAGATTTTTTTGTATGTTACGTAACACGCGCTCAAAACTAATGCGTATAATATACCACTTGAGGTTATGACTAAATTCAAAATTTTTATTTTTCGATACGTTTCTCAATCGGCAAGCAAACTTAAAAAGTATGTTTAGTGTTTTATCTGTAACATAATGCTAAAATGAAAAGATTTTAGATGATACGCCAAAGAGAAAATGATGTCTGAAGTTCAGTAAGTTTTGTTTATATGGCTGTAAATATGGCGTCAATTTTAAAACATCTTTGATAATTATATTTTAATTGACAATTTTTAACTATTATTATATGTTTCTCAACCGGCAGATGCATTTAAAAAGGTAGCTAACTGTATAAACTAGAGAATAAAGCTAAAACAAAGTAATTTTGAGAGGAACGCCAAAAAGAGTTTAGGTTTTGAACACTTTTCATTGCAAATACGTGACAATGAAAAAAATTGCCTCAATACTTAAGATGAAGCAATGAAGTAATCGGTTGGTTTCTGTAAAAGTTACACGACGAGTCACCACGAAGTACAGTATTACCATGGATTGTAAAATAACTGGATAGGAAACTTCCTGACGTCACAGTCTAAACCTAGTTGCAATCTGTGACGTCACGCGCATTGTTTCGCTATATTTTCCGCTTTAAAAGAGTAATATTGAAGCATAAACTGATCTAATTGTTTTAAAAACATGCCTACGCCATTGAAAACATTAGGTCACGTCAGCTAGTTTCCTATCCATTTATTTTATTATCCATGGTATTACATGTGAAGGTTCTATGATTGAATAGAAAACATATAAATGCACAAATGCACGACCACCATGTTGAATTTCATCCCGCTGGCACAGAGCCGTCCCGACCACTGTTCTGAAAAAAGTATCAATTTCCCGTGCGTAATACAAAATGACTGAAAAACGGCAAACTTCGCAGGGCTATATTATCCGCATTTTACAACATTTCGCAACGAAACTTCGGAATATTATTAATTTTGTGATGCTCTTTCAAGATGTGTTGAAATGTTTGTCTAGACTTGTCTAGATCAAAATTTTGTTCATTAGGGAATAGGTCCATTCTCATCCTATTTTCATTCAAATTTAACCAAAATATAATCAATTTGTCCTTGAGCAATGTTCATTAGCACTACAAATTTTCGTATTAATACGTTTGATATCTTTTAAGTTGTCGCTCTGACAGACAAACACACACACGTATACACATCCATAACCTCTTGGCGGAGGTAAACAGGTATGTGATTATGATTATTCAGCTCACTCCTCATCGGGCCTTTTCGGTGACCATTACATCAAGTATTACGCTTACTTATATCACCTGCTAAGATTATAGACTATTTATTTTTACAACAATTGTGATATTATACAAAATAATAGATACTCCGAAAATTGAAAGCATTTTGAAAATTTATTTCGACGTTTCGACTAAACAATAGTCATCATCAGGAAATGAATGATGATGATATTACATATGTACAAGTATATATAGTGAAGTAACCAGATACGATTAGTTAAGCTATAATTAATTACGATTATTAGTATTAATTAATATTAATTATTAGTATTAATATTTATTATTAGTATTAATTATTAATTATAAATATTATTATTATTATTATTATTATTATTATTATTAATATTTATTATTAGTATTAATTAACAATTATTCGCCGAAGGCGAGGTGATTATTGGTGAATAAAAACCGAGACGAAGTCGAGGTTTTTATTCACGATAATCACCGAGCCTGAGGTGAATAATTGTTTTAGTATAATTTCATAGGTGATTACATGGAAAAAATAAAAAAATACACATTTCTTCGTCATTTAATTGACAAAAAGGCTTCGGCCGCCATTTTGAAAATCGCTTAGGTGATTATCGCGTAATAATCACCTCAACGGCAACCAATCAGCGTGGAGAATTTTCAATAATCACCTATGTAATTATACTAATTATTATTATTAATTTATTACGATTATTAGTTATACGTATCTGGTTACTTCACTATATATACTTGTACATATGTAATATCATCATCATTCATTTCCTGATGATGACTATAGTTTAGTCGAAACGTCGAAATAAATTTTCAAAATGCTTTCAATTTTCGGAGCATCTATTATTTTGTATTTTATCAAAATACTCAGTGGTTCCCGCAATTGTGATATTACTTTCCTAACCGTGTTTATCCTAACCCACTCTGTCAACTTTCAATGTGGGAGGAAACCTGAGCGCCCGGAGAAAACCCACGACTTTCGGCAAAGCGTTGACAGACTCTTTTCACACGAGTCCATACATGAGTCCATAGCGAGACTCGAACCCACGATCTCAGAGCTAAAAGGCGCTTGGGCCTAAAAAAAATACCTGCGGTTCCGGTTCCCGACCGACCCTATTTTTTTCTGCCGATCTTATTATTTTTTCAACGCGATTGACCGTGCGACCCTATTTTCTCCGGGTGGTTGCGGGCTGCTCATACAGCGTGCCAAAATGGCGTCTGTTGTCACACTAATTATTGAACCAAATTGCCTAAATTCGTCCATAGGAAATACGCATCTCTAGTTAATATTGACGTCGGGACTCTACTGCAAATCGCCCAGCAAAAAAACGCCAAAACCATGAAAAAAATATTCAAAAAAAAAATTATTTCCGACCTACCTCCCCCAATTTTTTCACGATATGAAACCGGAACAACAGGTATTTTTTAGGCGTTGCTCTGACGACTGCGCCACCGAGGTATGGTATGTGAATAAATCATTTTGCGTAAACTTACCATTTAGAAGTGGGGAGATAAACTTTCCATCAACAGCTTTGGACGATGATGTAAGATTACGTTCACTGCTAGATTGCTGGACAGGTTGTTTTTTCGCAACATTCACTGGAAAAAACAAAAAAAAATGTTTTAAAATATAGACTAAAAACTAAATTAACTTTATGTAATCATCTGGGTTTGTATGTGTGTGTGTGTGTGTGTATGTGTGTGTGTATGTATGTGTGTATGTATGTGTGTGTGTGTGTTTGTCTGTGAGCACGATAACTCAAGAAATACCAAACATATCCGTACGAAATTTTGTGAGTGCATTTCCCATCGGCTAAGGAAGAACTGATTAAAATTTGGTTGAATTTGGTTAAAAATTGAATGAGAAATAACAAAAGTTTGTCTTGCTTTTCCCGGTCAATTAAATAAAACTTTATACTGAATGCGTAATTAGGACGTGCATAATATATGCACCAGCCATTCAAATTCTAATAACAATAGATTACTTCAATATTTTGCGCGTAGGCGGAGGTATGCAGTCTCTGAGTGCCCTCTAGTTTAAACTGAAGATATAGAGGTTCAGTACCCACATGGACGAGCAAAATCTGTACTTTGCCAATTTTTTCTGCGACAAATATACTTCCTCAAAAGCTCGCATGTTAGCTTTTGAACAAGTGTACTTGTCATAAAAAAAACTTGCGAAAGTTTAGTGATCGACCGATTGTGCAACATTCGGAAACTACCGACTACCGACTATTCATTCCACAATATACCCGATACAGGGCTGCAACTAAATATTTGACTTGACAGGACATTTGTCTGATCACTTTTAATTTTGGTCGGACATAACTTGAATTTGGTCGGACAAAAACCAACACCACTAAATTAAATTTTGTCGGACATATATACGTCACAAGATATATATAGGCTAAGTCACAAGACAAGTATGTATAGCCATTCCGACGATACGTTAAAGTAAAATGCTAGAATGCCTCGTAAATTTTATTGCAAAATGCAAATTGAGTGAATTTGCAATCGAATTTTGTCACAGCAAAAAATGTATAATGTGACAATTTTTTTGTGATCTGACCAATGTCCGTTCAAAATTACTTTTGCTCGGACATTTGCCAAATTTAGCCGGACATTGTCCGATGTTCGACAGTAATTTGCAGCCCTGCGATACCGATCTTATAATGACGTCATAATATCAGTCGACCGAGTAAAGGTGACGTCATCTATGTCGATTTGTTAACGATAATTTCCCACGTAAAATGTTTCTGCAACCAAAGATCGTTAATAAATTGCATGATTGATGATTCACGCATTAATTTAACATATTGTGTTAAGACGCAACGTGTATCAATGTGCATTGCATATAATTTTTAAAGTGCGTATTTTCTCAACAACCGGTTTTAGACAATCGGAAATATAGATAACTCGACCGATTCCGATTGTCTACCGATACGGCAAAAATCGGCCCGACGTTGATACCGATCAATCACTTATGCAAAGTTGACTATACAGACGATGAAAACTTGTCATGGAAAATTAACGCCCATACAACACCCAAATATACTTTGACCAAACATACCAGCATCGGGATGACAGCCAATAGCCTCCACTCTCATGCACATGAATTTCCCATGGAAAGATGTCGGAGTAAACTTTATATATTTCGCTGCAATTCTGTGCGGAAAACTACGAACAGCCATGGTGTTACGGTCTTTATTTCCTTCAAACACCTAAGAATACAAATGGTCAATTTTAATTACAGTAGCTGGTTTAAATACAGTCTTGAAATATTTATAATTATAAACAATAAGGCCAAAAAAAAATATGTGGGTTTCCGGTTTCTTCTTATAAAAACTTAGGTAGGGTAGGTCGGTTTTAACTTTTTTTTAACTTTTTTTTTAAATTTTCTGAACAAGCGGACGCCATTTTGTTTAGTCAGTGCTTCCACATCCAAAGATAAATTTTCCTAATATTGCCTCAAATTTCAATTTTCCACAAACTTTTTCCTCTAAGTGGAAACACTTACAAGCATGATCCAATAAAAAAGTTTAGGGTCGGGATTTCGACGTCCAAAAGCTAGGTAGGGTCGGGAAACCGGAAACCCACATATTCTTTTTTGGCCTAACAGAAAATTTGAAATCAAGGAAATCAATGTGTGAAATCTCCTCTTCAAGATTTAAATTGTCTCGTAATACACGCGTAAAATCTGACAGCTTGTCAACAAGATGTGCTCGCAATGCTTGTTCCAAGTTGCTGACAAGTCTGGAACAAGTTGTTATCATCTTGTACCAAGGTTGATGAGACTATGAACAGACTCGCAAAAATTGTTCTAACAAGTCGTCTTGTTTGAACAACTTGTAGCAAGTCTGTTGACCAACCTGTTCCTAGACTTGTCACAACAACTGGAATAAGCAGTGCGAACACATACTGATATTAGCTAGTACGTACCACGTGTTCGCGGCCATTTAGAATATGGAACCAGTGTCTCTTGTTACTGCTGTAAGAGACAGTATACTCTGTAACCCAGTTGTCAGAATCCGATCTTCCTTGAGTGATCACACCTTCCAGTATGTTGACTTTGCCTGGAAGTAAATTGAACATTGTTCTGCATTAGCATAAAATACTGTAAATATTGGGTGGATAAGCTATATGACGTCTGTCAAAAACACATAAAACGCACAAGTTGTTACAGGTCTGCAAACAAGTTGTTACAAATTTGTTCACAAGATGTCACAAGTTGTGTTCGTACTGTTTGTTCCTAGTTGTTGTAATAAGTTTGGAACAAGCTGTTAACAACTTGTAACAATCTTAATGGCATTATCAGACTTGTTACAAGGTTGTTTTAACAAGCCTGATACAGTCATGATATAACAAAAATGTTACAAGGTTGACGACACAAGGTTGAAACAATATTATTATATCATGACTGTTTCGGACTTGTTGGAACAACCTTGCAACCAGTTTGATAATATTAACAAGAATGTTACAACTGTTAACAGCTTGTTCCATACTTGTTGACAACTTGGGACAAGCCTTTTATACACACGCAAAAATCTCACATATTGTAGCAAGTCTCCATCAAGTATGAAAAAGTATGGAACAACTTGTTAACAGTTGGAACAACCTTGTCGATATTATCAGACTTGTTGTAAGGTTGTTCCAATAAGTCGGATAAAGGCATGATATAACAATATTGTTACAACCTCGTGTCGTCAACCTTGTAATATTCTTGTTATATCATGACTGTATCAGACTTGTTAGAACAACCTTGTAACAAGTCTGATAATGCCATCAATTTAGCTTGTTACAAGCTGTTAACAGCTTCTTCCAAACTTGTTACAACAACTGGGAACAAGCAGTGCGAACACAACTTGTCGACAGTTTGTGAACAGATTTGTAACAACTTGTTCGTGAACAGATTTGTAACAACTCGGAATTCGACAGTATAACTTTTGGCATACCTAAATCCACAATCAAATGATGATCGCCAGCCAATGGATCCTCACTTGCACACCATGATCCCTTAGTGTTCCCCAGCCTCCCATCATGCGCAGCGGTCATGTTACCAGTGATAGTGAAATTCGACTTCACTGAAGTGGAAGTTTCATTCGAGTCACGCCCAAGCGCTTCCAGTGTAGAATTAATCAATTTCATGAGATCACGGGCATCCAGTGTCGAAGTTGCAGACATTTGTTCATCTTTAATAATTTTCTTGCTATGAATGCCAAGGTAACTGCTACATACTGAAATGAAAAATTGTACAGTGGTTTGAACCAGCCTCGTACCCAGGCGCAAATAACTAAAAATAGGCACACTACAGTGTTTTTATATAGATCAGTGGCTAACACTGATCTATATAAAAACACTGTAGTGTGCCTATTTTTAGTTATTTGCGCCTGGGTTTGAACAGCGGGCAGGGTTCGTACGCTTTCATAATTAAAATATCCGGGATTTTCAATCCGGGATTTTTGCCCTCGTTTTCCAGGGGTATTTGAAATATGAGCAAAGTAATTTCGCCAGTAAGTCGACAAGTTTTTTTACTAGAAACATCGCTATCAAGTAACATCCTATCGAAAAAGACCGATATACTATTCGCAAAAACGTTTCCTATAGTCGATCGTATTTAAACATAAAGTTTAATGGTATAAGTTTAGTTTTTTAAGGGATTTTCAGGAGTCACTTGGAAGTTTTCTTGACTTTTCATGGAATTTTGAAGACAAAAGTAAAAGTCCAGTATTTTCCAGAATTTCATGCAGGGGGATGCAAATCCTGAGCTGTCAGGGTGAGCTGTCAAAGTTTCCGGAAATGACGTCATTAGATAAATTGCAAATTAGTTTTCCTTTTTTTACTCCAAAATTCATCTGAAGACATCATATTAGGAAAGTTTGACAGTGAAAAAGTTGATCAAGACGAGGTTTTTACTACAAAGATATATTACATTTCTTCTATAAAGAACGACCCAAATATAACGCATACAAAAAATAAAATTTGGTGTTAGTAGCATTAAACCCAATAAGCTGCATTGCGCCCTACTTTATTATTTTACTCTGTTGAACGCCAGACGACTTTACTCGTCAAGGGGAGAGCGCTGGCGCTCAAACGGTTGACAGGAAAACTTTTAATACACTTACCAGGATACAGAATGGAGCTTGGTCCAACTTCTTCGACAGCCTGTGTAGTATTAGTAACATTTGTGCTCGCAGTAACATTTTTCAAACTTCCTTCGGTTGTGTTCTGCACGGCATTGGCTGTTTGGTTCTGTCTGGACATAGTTTTCTCTGTTGATATCTGAACGGCCATGACTTCTTTTGTCGTAGTTTGCTCGGTTGAATTTTCACCGGCCATAGCTTCTTCTGTGGTTCCTTCCATGGCTGTAGTTGGCTGGACTGAACTGGACTCGTCATTATTTGGAAGAGTGGTGTTTTCCTCAGAGTTGGAGGTTGATATAGCTTCTGTTACTGTAGGTGATGTCGACTTTTCCTCAGTGCTGATTTCTGGGTTTGTCGCAGGTGTAGTATGATTCAATTCAACTGTAAAGTTAAAGAGATACGGCAATAAAAATTAACTTTGTTTTATTTGAAAGAACTTTTAAAGTTATATATGAAGACCCTTTACAACGTTTTCGTACCTTGCTTGGTTTTCGAAATATTTTTACCAAAAACAGTGTGCAGTCGCCATCTTGGTATTATAATTGACCTAATTAACGGCTGAGTTTTTGATGACATCACAAGCAGGGTAAACTTGTTAAAACTTCTTCATGTGGGACAAAATTCCTTCGAAAAGTTTCTTAAAATGTTGTGAGTTAATTGAGTACTAAAAAGACTACGGAAAATCGAGTTTTATATCCGATAAAGCACTCCTGCTGGTATTATCAAGTTTAATGAAATGGCAAATAGTATTTGATAGGCAATTTTATGCAAATTTTTAACATTGTCAAATATGCTTATTCGATTTAAAACATCGATAGCTCAGTCAATGTTGCACGAACATTCAAATGTTATATATCAAAATCTAATTTAGCCCTTTGTGAATACAATAATAGTTATTTGAGTGCAATAGCGTTTATAGTTTTTACGTTAGATTATATCAAACAGCGCAAGTTTTTTGGGGGACACCCGGTATATGGACTTTCTTAACTTGAAAATATTTCCTTCATTTCGACGATTCTTAATTTGAAAACATTTCCTTCACTTCTGACGGCCGGTGATTATTATGCACAAAATATACAAACGATCATGAAATTGTACTTGGACTTAGTGAGCTGCATGGTCGTATATTCATTTGAAAAAAATTCAAATATTGAGTTTATCCATGCATGCAATGATACTTTATTAGAATATATGATCAATATAATTGTGCACGTTTTAATGCATGCAACGAAAAACTTGCCACCCTGTTTAAAAAACCGCAAAACTGATTATGTTAAAGGACGAAAACATACATGACGCGGACTTGCTATATATGTATATATATTTTTGATGAAAGACTTGTAATCTTTTGCCATTCAACCGATAAAGAAAAGAAGAGAATCCTCGAGATATAGCATGCTACTTCGTTTCCCAACCATTTCATGAAAGCTTTAACTTAACTCAAAAACACTTTAAAAGTTCACTAATAATTTATGACTATTTTAGCGTATGAAATTATTAGTAAGTCAAACGCGTAGACAACCTTATCCTAAGTATAAATCTTCTTCTTTATATATAAAATATAGTAATGATGTGACGTTTTGGAAGTAGTTTAAGACACTAGCATGCACTATCGCATAACGTGCTCCATTAGGGCTAAAACGAGTAAAACCACTTGCGCAATATATAGCGCTCGAGTTTTAAAACAAACAAAGCAATATGTTTGCCTAGAATAGACTACAAGCATTCTTGGGCAAATCTTTTCGTAAAGAGATTTAGTGTTCCACTAACATCCCGAGGAAATGCTTTCGCACGAAATGTCTGAGACAAAGTGTGTTTTTTTTAATCTTTTTTACCTTCAAGAGTATTAGCAACCACGGAGCCTTAATTGTCAAGGAAAAAAGGAAAGGCTATTTATTGGCCGCATGACTCATGAACAAGATAAGTTATAGAGGAAGATTTACGAGTCCTATATAACGGTGTCTCGTTAAATTACAAAGCTCAAAAACATGAAAAACCTTGGCAATTAAAGTATTTTTATACAACAAGTTGTCATCTCTTTAAACCTACTTACTTTTTGTGGAAGTCAGCGTCGGAGCAGAAAAACTTTTTCGAACTAGGACAAGGAGACCAATTACCAGAACGAAGCGATAAATCGCCATGTTTTCTGCGTGAATATTGGCCACGATAAACGCTTCTGAAATGTCCACCAAGATAGTTCGTTGCTAGTGACCAAGGACGCTGCATACGATGCTTGCGGTCAAAGTTAATGTTTGCAGGTGGCTGTATAAATAATAAAGCAGACAGTCTTAGTCAGCGAAGAGAATTAAAGAGGGGGGACCGCATGCCACCCGTGTTTAAGCGGTCCTGAATATCCTACATAGGTGGATTTCATTAATAATCATATGGTGGGCAAAATTACTCAAATATGATTGGTTAATGATTAGGGGGATTTTTTCTTAATTCAGGACAAAATTACTTTTACCTGATTAGCTGAGACACAAGGGCGGGAAGTTTCTTGTTTTAAATAGCAATAAAAACAATGGCTTCTCGCTTTGTCGTTGCGGATAATAATGTTATTGAAGAATTAAAAACGTCTAGTCAAAACTCGAACATTAAGGAAGATCGGTGAAGAAATGGAGACATACGAGGTTGAAGAACTTGACAAGTTCACAATTAACTTACGAATAAATTTTGCCCTCTATGATTAACAAGTAATCGCGCGGTTCCTCGTAAAATTAAGGTTTAATTTCACTTAGTTTCACAAAATTAAGATTAAACCTTAATTTTACTCGGCCTCATGCGATTACCTATACGAACTAAGCCATGTTCAAATGACAATTAAAGTTTGCAAGCGAGAGTTTGATGGTTCTCTCAACTCTCACGCTCCGGTCATACGAGAACAAAAGTTGCATGAGAGAGTTGACTGGATAATACCGGTCGAACGAGTATAAACTCTCACTAAAATTTCAACCAGCTCAAAGGATGACAAGTGTTGATGAGAGATCCGACTCTCATTCAGTTGGTTTTTAGCGAATTCAAATTTCGATGAAAGTTGATGAGAGTTTTTACTGGTAATATCCAGTCATACTGGTAATATCCAGTCAACTCTCGCCAACTCTCATGCAACTCTTCTTTCTCATTTGATAGTTTAACAAGGGCATAACAGATGAGAACACTCTCATGCGAACTCCTGCTTCGCAACCCTTATCAACTCTCACCGTCGTTTGAGCGGGGCTTTAATTTCACTATCTTTTACCTGAGACTGACACGAGATCGGATCTTGTCCTCCTTCCTTTTCTATCCCTGGTAATGTTCATTGTCAGTTCCTTGACAATTACATCATCTTTTAACAGTCCATCCATTTTTTCTTTGGATTTCCCCGTTCTCTGGTTCCGTTTATCTTCAGGGTTCATAATCTCTGACCGACTTTCCTTCATCTTTTCATGTTTTTGTGTCCCAAATGAGTTCCGATCAAGAGATAATGTCTCTGATCGGCTCTGCTTCGTATTTACTGTGTGACCCATACCATCATATCCTTGTTGAACATTCCATAATATTTCTGAAGATTCTCCTTCATCTCTTCCTATTTCGTATTCATTACCATCACATCCTTGCTTCACATTCTCTGCAAATTTTACCACATGAGTTCTCATCTCTTCATTCTATAATATCTCTGAAGACTCTCCATCATCTCTTCTTATTATGTGTCCATACCATCATATCCTTGTTTCTCTCACCTTCTCTATAATGCTTACCGCACCACATATCCTGATATTTTCATTTCATAATACGGCTTTCCTTCATCTCTTATTTCGTATCCATACCATCACATCTTTGTTTCTCTCCTTCTCTGAAATGTTTACACTCCTAAATGAGTTCTGATAAAGAGATAATATCTCTGACCGGCTCTGCTTCGTATCTTTTATTATGTATCCATACCATCATATCCTTGCTTCTCTCACATTCTCTGCACGTTTTACCATATATGAGTTCTAATCTCTTCATTTTATAATACCTCTGACCGGCTTTCCTTAATCTCTTATTTCGTATCCATATTACCACATCCTTGTTTCTCTCCTTCTCTGAAATGTTTACACTCCCAAATGAGTTCTGATAGAAAGATAATACTTCTGACCAGCTCTGCTTCGTATCTTTTATTATGTATCCATATCCTGGCTTCTCTCACATTCTCTGCAAGGTTTGCCGTCCCATGAGGGTTCTAATCTCTTCATTCCATAATATCTCTGATCGGCATCATCTCTCTGTCTCTTCTTATTACGTGCCCATTCCATCTCGCCCTTGCTTCTCTATATGCAATGCTTACCGACCGCACATTTTCTGATATATTTATTTCATGTCTCTGACCAACTTTGCTTCATCTCTTCCTATAATAAGTGTCTATAAGTTCACATCCATGCTTCCCTCGCCTTCTCTGTGATGTCTACCATCTCACATTTTCTTCTGATCTCTTCATTCTATATCGGCTCTCTTTCGCTTATTAAGGTTCAGTGCGATCACATCTTTGTTTCCCTCAATTTTCATGCGATGGCAACCATCCCACATCACTCTCTGGTCTCTTAACTCCTTATCCTGTCCTTCAGTGAACCTCAAGGATACGTCTCAGAATTCACATCCCTGTCCCAAATTCAATTTAGCACAACAGCAGCATACTGTTTTGTCTATTTTGCACTTCAACTTTCTTGACATTTTCACATCACAGATTCCTTACATATTTTGCGTACTGGCTAAATATCTAATATACTTACATATATGCTATTTTCAAACAGCCATGTATTCCTTGCATATTCCTAACAAATCCAGCCAAGCGTAAAACAAGGGCAGTCGTGCATGATATAAAAATAAACAAAGTCAATCGTTTTTTTATCTGGCTTGACAAACCTTTTATCTTTAATAAAGATGCGATATGGGTGTTCAAATACGATATTGATGCTAATAAACCTTCTGTGTATCTCACTAAAAGCAGTCGAAGGTAGGAAACTACGAGTAATATTTAAACGTATTTCAAAAACAAAAAATGTCAAAAACGAAAAATAACTTTAACAAGGAAATCCTACGGGAGCTGTTTTCACGACACTTCGTACTATATTCTTGGGTTTCACTTTGGCATTATGCAGTGAACTGACGGGAGGTCAACCTCAAAATGTATTGATGCTTATGCTGTACTGGAGTGAGAAAATGGTACGAAATTCCCTGTATCTGTCACCAAACACAAGGCTAATACATAAAACGAGTAATCGACTCACTCTGATAACTGTGTTTTGTTTTAGAGTTGACCCCCCGTCACTTTTGTGACGTCATATGAAACCCATGAATTACAGAAGCCTCGGTCAAACGAGGATGAGGGTTGATGAGCGTTGAAATTCTCACTCGTGTTTCACCGCCAACTCTCATCGACATCTCATCGTGCACTTTCATCAACTTTGAGCTGGTTCAAATTTTGATGAGAGTTGATGAGAGTTTTTGTAATATCCAGTCAACTCTCATCAACTCTCGTATAAAATTTGTTCCCGTTCGGATCGGGGCATTAGTTGAGAAAACTCTCATGTAATTATCGCTTGCCAACTCTCATCAACTCTCATCCTCGTCAAGGACTTTAATAATTAAGACCTTAGAATCGCACTATAGTTTGGCAACATCCCAGATTAAACGCGAAGATAATCTATAATTATTGAAACAGCGTTTATTTTACAAATTTAAAGCCGTATAGTGTATTTACAAAAATGTTAAGATCAGATATAATTTCCAATGAACTCATCAGACAACAATTTGTAAACCCCTAACTTTACAACTTTTATAATTCATTGTGTCACGCAGTAACTTCTTGCCGTTTTTAGTAAAATTATTCAATAAAAGCGATACTCTTGTTAACACACACTGACCATCTTTCAGTGCCTTACACAAACTGGGTATGCATTGATCTGTTAACAAACACTGTTGAAGAGACAACTCAGTAAGCTTACAATGCTCTTTTGTCAGGGCATCTTCAAACAACATACCTACACCTTTATCACTTATGGCATTGTAGCGCAGTGATAGAACAGTCAGTTGACAACGTTCATTTTGCAGCGCCTTACACAAACTGGGTATGCATTGATCCGTTAACGAACACTCACTAAGATTCAACTTAGTAAGCTTACAATGCTCTTTTGTTAGGGCATCTTCAAACAACATACCTACACCTTCATCACCTATGGCATTGTTCGCCAGTGATAGATCAGTTAGTTGACACCGTTCATCTTGCAGTGCCTTACCTAGCATAGGAATACATCGATCTGTTAACCAGCACTGAACTACATACAATCTATTAAGTTTACGAAGCCTTTTCGTCAGAGTATCACACAACACCATTCCACCCTCATCACGTATTGAATTATTTCCAAGATCCAAATGTGTAAAATTTGGACAATGTCCATTGTTAAGGACTTCACAAAGTTTCGAAATTTCATGCGAATCAATTCCATTACGATTTAAAGTTAACTGCTCAAGTTGGCTCGTATTCCCGTTTTCAAAAAAATTGCACATTATTGGTAAAGCCGTTTCGGTCATGCGAAAATTACCAAGTGCTAACGAAGTCAGCTTAGTGTGTTTGTGGTCCAATGTACAGTTTAATTCTATTAATGCGCTAAATACTTGGTCTATTTCGTCTGCAACAGTGCCATGTGCTTCCGCCATGTGCATTTCTAGTTTATTTAGGCATCTTTTTCGTAGCAACCCCAGAACCTCCGGAAGACAATCTGCGGCAAATTCAAACAATGTCAAATTTGCCAATTTTTTCATGTGTTTGCAAACGAAAGTCACTGCCGCCCAGTCACTTGGAGAAAGATGATAAGATGCAGGATTAATGTATAGTTCTGCCACATCGTTTATAGCAGTTGTTTCGCAAACTTCTTTAGTAATTTCTTCATCGTCCACTTCCTTTAAACACTTCAATACAAACACTTCATGGTAAGTAACTCGAATTTTACCATCAGTAACTTTGAAGCTTTCCGTAAACGCGAAAACACACTCCGTGTATTCCCTATCAAAATTCTTGATTCTCTTGCCCAAAAGTCCCGCAATAAACTGAAGAACTAAATGCCAGTTACCACTTTTAACATGGTCGGAAATGAACTTCTTTATTTCGGCTGGAACGAGTGTTTCAGTCACGTGTCTTGCAGCAAGAAATTCTTGTATGGTTAAATGGATAAAACAAAATTGTGTTTGTAGTGGGAAAATAGGGTTGGATAAACTGTTCAATAAACCAGACTTTTTCATTTGGTCATCAAATAATACTTGATCAAAAATCAGTTGCCCGCTTTCCATACCAAGGAATGCTAATCGTTGAAGTTTCTTTAACGCTTCATGTGCCATAGAGTTTCTGTCTGCATTTCTGTGGTGATGTTTCTCAAAATGATCAATGGCTGTCTTGTATAGCTCTGTCAGTGTTGTTGGAAGAGCACCGGTAACATTTCTTGGGTAACTAAGACATCCAGAGAGGGTAACACACACTATAAAACAGTTGACTGGAATGTAACATAAATTTAACAGTTCTGATGAGGATTTTATGTGGTTCCATATCTTCGTTTTAAGGTAGCTTGTGTTATTATTGTCACAAAATCGGCCGACATATTCTTCAATTTTATCGGAAGTGAAACCAATAATCTCCACATTTCGATCAAAATCAAGTCTCGAGTAAAAATCATCTGCAGTCGGTCTGCTTGTTACTACAATTGTTACTCCTTTCAACAAATCGCCCAAAACAAGTTTAATGAATAAATTCATTGCTGACGTGCCAGTATTAGGATCGTTTGGAATTATGCGAGATTGGTCTAAGCAATTTATGGGGTTGCCGTGATATTCATCTAAACCATCAAAAACAAGAATGGCTTTTTGTGGCTCTTTTGCAATTTCTTCATAAATACTTTCAAAATTTTCTTCATTCAGTCCCGTCCCAAACCGAAGAAATGTTTTAAGGGGTATATTTGTCAATTTGTTAATATTCTCGTTGAACCATCTGAATTTGACAAAGAAGACAATCTTATCGGAATAATATTCATCAATTCCATTAACCCAGTCACGGAGAATTTTTTCGGTCAAGACAGTTTTTCCAATCCCAGGTCTTCCAATCGCCAGAATACTACAAGGAAATTCTCCTTTTGTATCTCTGTTTGGGTAAAATAATTCATCAATCCTTTCTAAACGTATTGAGGTTTGAGGAACTTCCATATAAACATCGTAAATTTCGTGTCTGTTCATTTCTTCAGGAAAATTATGCTGAGCTCGTCCAGTATGGATAACAACGTCAATATACAAATCATCTATATTTGCGTTTGGTCCGTAAATTATGTCAGGTGCACGAGATCGATTCAAAACATGTTGCTTGTAAAAGTCGATACAGTCCTCAGTCCCAAAGTCCTGGATTTCATTGTCCATAGTGGTACATTCTTGAGCGACAGAGTCGGGAGTGGTCTGATTCCTAGTGTCCTGAATGCTATCGTTCAAAGTGCTACATGCTTGAGCGACAGAGTCCAGAGTGCTATAATCTTGAGTGCTACAGTGTGGAGGGTTGTTTTCGATGCTTGTTAAGGGTTCACTTTCACCAGGTACGTTATATTGCTTGCCAAGAAGATATTCAATAACAAATTCAGTATCATCGCTCCAGCAAACTCCAGAATGACGGTTGAGTATTGGTAAACGTGGCAAAAGATAAATCACTTCCACAAATATAATTAAGGCAACAATAATGTTTATTGCAGATACAATTATGCCCCATAACCATTTCTCTGACGCTGTCGCATTCTCACAATTTACTGATGTACTGTTCAAATGACGATTCGCATTCTTTGGTGTATTGATGTTGGATGTTACTTCCGCTGGTGGTAAATTACAGCTGAATTTCAAATCGAAACCATTGGGATAGAAATATGTGTGTTGTACAACAGTAAAAATGATCCCAAATAACGAACGCACAACGAGGTGGATAAAATAGCGATAAAACACATTAAAAATTCTCCAGTCCTGTCCATGGACCCGGAACTCGGCCTCGTCATCAGTTTGTCGTTCATTGCTTGACTCTATTTCGTCGACACGCTTCCATACTAGCAGTGAATAAACAACACTGACAAGAACTGACAATCCAATACTCAGTAAGACAAAGCCGTACAAAGGCAGAGGAGAGTTATAAGCCTGATCATATCTTGCAAAACATGCCTGGTCGACCTGTTTCTTGTACGTGGCCGTACTTTTAGCATCAACAGAGCAAGAAAATTTCCCGTTCTCACTTGCCCTCAAAGCTGCGGTAACAGCAGTAAATACCAATCCACAAAGGAAATGAACAATTACACATATATAGGTGACAATACCAAATCTTTTCGGTGCTAAATAATCATTAACTGCGTCTATCATCTTGATATTTAATAAACTACATCTCTGAAACTTTGGTCTGTGCACTTTAATGTTTGTGACACCGCAATTCGGGTAAAATGAAGCGGCAGCTCAGTGTGTTTTTGTTGATATTCAACAGACAAGAGACAACAATTATAAGTAATTATTTGAATGCATGGCTAAAGCTGTACAAAAGATGGCAAAATTGCATGGGGAGCTTTTGTGTCTTTGATATTATTAAAATTTAATTGAAAATAATCTAAAATTAAGTTGCTGAATATATAGAAATGGCTAGAAAATACCGAAGATTCCAGTTTTCGTGGTTGGGTAGCTGTCCCGACGTCAGTTGCATTTCACAATTATAAGCATTGGTTCTTTGCAAGATAAAGTTCAGCTACGTCCCGAAAAATCAAGTCTGTCAATATAACGTGATAAGCTGGACTCCTCATAGACATGGGCAACATTACGTATTAAATCAGATTGATAGTTATTGGTGTCTTTGATATTGTTGAAAATGGTGTAATCTTGTTTGATATATCTATAGAAATGACTAGAAAATACCGTAAATTTTTTCCGTACAAAGTCGAGACAAACTATAAAAAAATTACTGAAGTCAATTCAGTTTGACATTTTGATATACAGCGAGATTGGCGAGCCTAGATGCAGATAGGAAGTGACTCGAACTTCAATAGCTACATGTGTATGGCTAGCTTAAATATTACGGTATAAAATGTCATCAAAACAGCTTTCATGGCGCGCGTTTCCATATCAGAGTTACTATTTGCATATTTTTAATTCCAGTTCAAAACTTTTGAATGAGTTCTGATTAAAGAGATCGGCTCTGCTTCGTATTTATTGTGTGACCCATACCATCACATCCTTGTTCAATATTTCAGAAGACTCTCCTTCATCTCTTCTTATTTCGTATCATGGGCGTACCGGGGGGGGAGGCGGGGGCGGAACTCCCCCCCCCATTTTTTTGGGCAAACAAAGCCAGTCGGGCAATATTCGCTCCACAGTCGGGCAATATTCGCTCCACAGTCGGGCGCTCCACAGTCGGGCAAATTCTGTCAATTTTGTGGTCAATTTTGTGATGTCTGTAAAATCTGTATGAAGTTCGGAAAAATTCTGGTATGTCCGGAAAATTTTTGGACCCCTAAAATGGTACACTGGCCGAAAATTTTTTGGCGACGGGGGGGTGGAGGTCGCCAAATTTAATTTGTTCCGGAAAGATTTTTTTGGCACTGGTCGGGCACAATTCGAAAAAGTCAGGCAAATTTCTTTCCGCCCCCCTAATTTTTTCCTTCCGGTACGCCCATGTTTCGTAGCCATTACCATCACATCCTTGCTTCACATTCTCTGCAAGTTTTACCACATGAGTTCTCATCTCTTCATTCTATAATATTTCAGAAGACTCTCCATCATCTCTTCTTATCATGTGTCCATATACAATCAGATCCTTGTTTCTCTCGCCTTCTCTATAATGCTTACGGCCCCACATATCCCGATATCTTCATTTCATAATAGCTCTGACCAGCTTTCCTTCATCTCTTATTTCGTATCCATACCATCACATCTTTGTTTCTCTCCTTCTCTGAAATGTTTACACTCCCAAATGAGTTCTGATAAAGAGATAATATCTCTGACCAGCTCTGCTTCGTATCTTTTATTATGTATCCATACCATCATATCCTTGCTTCTCTCACATTCTCTGCACGTTTTACCATATATGAGTTCTAATCTCTTCATTCCATAATATCTCTGATCGGCATAATATCTCAGTGTCCATTGGTCCATACCATCTCACCCTTGCTTCTCTGTATACAATGCTTATCGGCGCCACATTTTCTGATATCTTCATTTCATGTCTCTGACCAACTCTGCTTTATCTCTTCCTATAATAATTGCCCATATAAGTACACATCCATGTTTCCCTCGCCTTCTCTGTGATGTCTATCATCTCACATTTTCTTTTGATCTCTTCATTCTATGATGTATTTGACTGGCTCTTTTTCGCTTATTAAGTTTCAGTGCGAACACATCTTTGTTTTCCTCATCTTTCATGCATTGGCAACCATCCCACATCACTCTCTGATCTCTTTACTCCTTATCCTGCGCATTTGATCATATACATATGCAGGGCGCCGGAACTGGGGGGGGCAAGAGGGGCAGCCGCCCCCGTTGTCCTTTACCAGGAGGGGCAAGGGGGGCAAAGGTGCCCTTTCAATTTAAAGGATTGCCTTGGCGAAATAGCGAATTGTTAGAAATGTTAGTGCGTTAATTCTTTTACGAATTTGCTTCAGAAAACGCAAGAAATGCAGTCATTGAGCTTCAAGAATAGCACAATCGCCTGGCGGAGAACCCCCTCTCACCCCTATCATCCAATAACTAATAGAAAACATGATTAGGCGAAGTTCAATTCCCGATGTTTTGCAAACATCTCTTAGTATATATCAATTCAAAAGTGCCCTTTCATGAAAATCTGCCCCTCTTGCCTTCGCATGGTTCCGGCGTCCCTGTACATATGGATACTTGCGCAATATAAATAATAAATTATTATTATTATTATTATCCTGTCCTTCAGTAAACCCCAAGGATACGTCTCAGAATTCACATCCCTGTTCCAAATTCAATTTAGCACAACAGCAGCATACTGTTTTATAGATTTTGCACTTCAACTTTCTTGGCACATCACAGATTCCTTACATTTCATTTTGCATACTGGCTAAATACCTAATAATTTACATATATGCTATTTTCAACCAGTCATGCATTCCTTGCATGGAGATCGTCTAACAAATCCAGCCAAGCGTAAAACCAAGGCAGCCGTGCATGATATAAAAACAAACAAAGTCGATCGCTTTTTTCTCTGGCTTGACAAACCTTTTATCTTTAATAAAGATGCGATATGGCTGTTCAAATACGATATTGATGCTTATAAACCTACTGTGTTTCTCACTAAAAGCAGTCGAAGGTAGGAAACTATGGGCGCTTTCCATTTAATGGCCGGATCGGTTAGACCCGAATTTTTGTCTCTGTATCAATGGAAAGATCTGGTCTATGTTTCTCAAATATCTAGCGAAATGGACCTAGCTTATTATAATTTTATCTAAATGTTCCGGTCAGACAGGTCCGAAGCCAAAACGTTTTGTGTTCCATTCAACAATTTGACCGTTCTGACCGGTCTCGCCGTATTAATGGAAGCGCCCTATGAGTAATATTTTACACGTATTTCAAACGCGGGTCGAGATTCAGCGTATAACGTCTATAATAAACGGTCGTGGTTTGGGTCTGAAAAGGATTAAAACAAAAAGTCAAAATATTTTCAATTTTTTCAGGTAATTCCGACACAAACCACGCTATCTATATATTTAAATGGTTTAGAAACTCTTGTGAGTTTTGGCTATATAATTACTCGTACGATTTTGCAAGGGAATTGGGACTTTTCGAAATTCATCACAGATATACAGTAATTATCATATTAAAAAAAAACATTTAAATTGTTAGTATTTGACTATTGATAGCTTGTCATACGAGAAAACGTATCAGAATTAATTCTGCTGCCGGTCGACATTAGTAAACAATAAGTCCACCTGTAGTTGACTTGCTTCCCGATATATTTAGACGAAATCGTTATATATTTTGAAGTTGCTTGCAACTGCATGACAGAAACCATATCAAAGCAGAGCAAAAAGACGCTTTCCAAATTTGCTCGAGACTTCAGTCAGATAAATACTAATAAGTGTTAAAAAAACTAGTGTATGGGGTCGAGGAGAACATATTGTCTCGCGAAGGTCTCAGTCAAATATTTTGTCATATATTAAACTGGTGGATAGAAGTATTGTTTACCGCTCAGACAACAGAGTACTTACATACAGAGGTCTCACTTCAGGTTAATTTAGCGTAAGGGATTTTTACAGTCCGCCATGTTCTTAGCAAGTGCTCTAATGAGAGGTTGTCACCCCCTGAAAACATATTGAAATTTAATGTTCCAGGGGGGTGAATGCTTCTCTTTAGGGCACTTAGTAACAGCATGGAGGCTGGCTATTTGGGTAAAAACTACCTTACGTTTTTCCCGCAGACGTGAGACCTCTGTATGCAAGTACTCTGTAGCTAAAAGCTGTTGCCAGAGGCTGTCGAATTTCATGACTTTCGCGTAATAGACTCTCGTCCAATGACATGCAAGGACATATGAACTTTGACACTTGGTATAAAGTTCAATCACTATACTGTCGTTAATCGTTGCCAGAATCAACCTAGTACACCATGTTCGAACCATGTGTACTCAAGCAATTTGGAAAGTGCCTATATATTCCTGAACACAACTCGACTCAGCCTTGTTTCTCGGTCTTTTCGCTCCGCCTTACTACTTTAAGGCGGTTTTCCACTAGGCGAAATTTTTCGACCGAATCGAAATTTCTCTTTGTTTCATGAGCTCTCAAGCAGAACTAATTGTAAAAAGACAAAGAGAAATTTCGTTTCGGTCGAAAAATTCCGCCTCGTGGAATCCGGCCTTTAAAGCCTGATTCCACGAGACGGAATTTTTCGACCGAAAAGAAATTTCTCTTCGTCTTTTTACAATTAGTTCTGCTCGAGAGCTCATGAAACAAAGGGAAATTTCGATTCGGTCGAAAAATTTCGCCTAGTGGAAAACCGCCTTTAGGGTGATAGTTTGTCGAGGTCTGCAGGTTAACCGGGACTGAGTTCTGAGGCATTGGAGACTAGGATGGAGCGGGAAGGCCTAGCAAAACGGTCTTGAATCGAACAATTTTTGTCCTTCGTTTGGTCCTGAGAATTAGTAGTATAATTGAAAGTATAAAATTGTCATAGAAAAAGCATTTTTAGTGAAAATCACAACCTCGTCCCCAGGGCCTTAGTGCCGACTTCGTGCTCTGGGGACGAGGTTGTGAAAATTACAGTTATTTTTGCCTTATGTAACTACTAACGTCGAGAAAATGTGATGTGCAAGTTCGAAAAAGTGAACAGGTACTGTACTGTCCGCGATAGTCTTGGATTTGGTGTTAAATCAATGCTGTATATATGTAGATGATTTGAAAGAATGGCAAAACTACTTATCACGGTTTGGATATTTTCCAAAACGGGAAGCCCGCAAATTGATGACAACCTGTAACTCGCCTGCGAGACCAAGGGCAAGAGATTAGGCTAACCTCGGCTTTGCTATAAGCTACGGCGCCTGGATGCAGCATATAGGACACAGTTCTAAAATTTACTCGACTATTTCTGTTAGAGTAAATGAATTTGTTTGGTAGTGAAATGGTATCATAAATTTAAGACGTTAGTGAATCTCTCAAAAATTATTACGAATAATCCTGGTCGCGCTTCTATAATCTATATAGCTTTTGTAAAAAAATTAAAATTTCAGGCAAAGCAGTTGGACATCATGAGGACATCAAAAGTACCATAAAAAGTTTGCGCCATGACATACACAGAGTTCTTCATTTTATTGATCACTTCAACAAAGATGTAATTCAAAATAAAGAAACTGACAGAAAGGGTGAGTGGACGATAAATTTTCAATGGGTTATCTTCAAGCTTTTTATTAAGCCATCGAACAAGCCATTGTTACTGAATGGCAGGGAAGTGAGTCCTTTGGGACAGCACTTCGCCATGTGTATTTTACAGATCAGTCAGGTCGCAATGCGACCAGAATGACCTGACCTAGAGACTCGATGGGTAAGTCATTTCAGTTGAGTTACCATCAGTTGTTCACCAGTTCAACTAGTACTCAACATCAACGAGCTGACTGACCTGAATGGGGGTTCGCCTGTTCCCCTGTTATCTAGAGGTTCACCCGTTCCTCTGGAAAAAACCTACAGTTTTTGCCTGCTCTCTCAGGTCTTGAGTACCCTTATTGTCTCGGTATACTAATTGTGGCCCCCAGATCATCAGGACTCAACTCGCTGACAACAAGCACAGAGCTGCATCATTTCCAATCTAGAGGTCCGTCTGTTCTAGATAAAACGTAGGTTAGCGAGAGCCTCTAGACCGTTTTCCGAGCACTTCCTTGCCCAAAATTATATGCCACAAGATGTGCCTCATTGTATCTGCGTGTATCAATTGTCTGCTAAGTTGCCAGGTGTCCAAATTACTTTAGAGTTTAGGCTAACCTAACATATTAAACTACATTAAGTGAGAACTAAAGGCCATAGGCGAAGGAGTTTAAAGTACTTATGCAACAAAATTCCAACACCATTTTTATGTTCGCTTAGTCTGGTGCTAAAGTATAATTCAGTGTCATAAAGTAAAAAGTGGCAAGCCCCCAAAATAAGCACTCGTCAATTAAAGTTTTTACTTCTAACAACGGTAAACTTGTATTGTATATCACTATAGTTTTTGACTTTAAAATAATTACATTAATTTTAGCTTGTTTGAGCCAAGGTACCTACTACGAACATATTCAAACATACAACCTAATTTCAACTGACAACAAAGGCTGGTTTAAAGAAATCGTTTAGGCATACAGTAAGTTAAATGGGACAAGGCTAAACAGGACAAGAAAACATGCAAAAACATTTTGATCATAACATGCGTTGGACTCAGCTTTTGAATGTTGGTTTGAGAAACTAATGTTCAAGATGGATTTGTAGATGGATTTTTGTGGTTAGAGCTCAACAACTGGACTTTGTAGCTCAGTTGGTTAGAGCGCTGCACCAGAATTGCAGGGCCACATGTTCAATTACAAAATTTACACTCAAAATTTGCATCTACAAAATCCTTCAATATTAGTCAGAAACTTACACAGAACAATGCGTGGAATTTCATCTCGGAACAAAACAATCTAATATAAAATTTAGGAATGTTCGGTATGAGAAATTTCCGGATCGGTATACCGAAAAAATTATACCGATATTATCGGTATGCCGGTTTTCCTTTGATAATTATAAAGGAAAATTCTTTGATGGAAATTTGAAGGAAATTTTGAGTAATTCTAAAAGGGAACGACACATACTCAGTGTAAAATCTGTATGTGTCGTTTCGAACGACACATACTCAGTGTAAAATCTCATGAAGTGGAAATTCTAAATCATTGCAGTAGAAAGTTCTTTGAATTGCCATTCAGTAGTAAAATAAAGGTTATGGTTTCGCCATATAGTTGGTAAATTTAACACGTATACAGAAAAATTCCGGTATATCGGAAATTTCGGTATATCAGTATGGTTGAATATCCAGTATCGATATACCAATAATGATTTAATACCGATATTTTCGGTATATCAGTATACCAAACAGTCCTAATACAATTACGGACAAAAGCTCAATGTCAAACATGCACATATTTCCTTGTTGGGGGTAGAATTTCACTAACTGCTCTCCGCCTTCTTTCATTCATGCTAGGAAGATACTTCCATGTAGAACCTCCCATTTTAAAACACTCCACTGAAATGAGATAGCGATGATCATAATTCTCACCTCCCATAACTACAATCATGTTATTTCCAGTAATAACTGCGCAACAATCAAATCTCTTCTCCAGCATGGATGGTAAGGCTGTGATCTTGCCCGTCTTGCATTCATACATGAAAACATCGTTCACAACTTTGTTATCCTTATCACGACCACCAAGCAAAACTACTTGATCTCGCCAGCGAACTGTTGCCATTTCTTTCAGGGGATGTGGTAAAGATGGCAGCTCCTTGCATGCATTCCTCTTTGGATCAAACTCCAAAACACTGTCTAAAACACCATCATCATCTTTCCCTCCAAAGACCAGAACTTTATCTTCAAACGCCTCAGCGCCATGACAATCTCGTGGCTGGGGCATTTGGCACAACTCTTTCAGTGTGCAAGGTGAGGCAAGATGCAATTCGCTAATCGCGTTGGACTTTTTTTCCTCGTCATAATTATATCCACCAATGTGAATGAAACGCTGTTGATAAATGAAAGTGTGATGACCATTACCTGCATAAGGAAGTTCACCAGGAAATTCCATCCATGTCAAAGGTAATTCATTGAGATCCAAGGTCTCTATTGTCTCAGTGTGCCTTCCCCCAACAACAAATAGTTGATCATTATCAATAAATGATGAAGCTCCATCATGTTCTTCATTCATTGGCGACATCTTATACCAACCATTCATCTCCCAGGAAAATATTTCTGCACTATCGCACGCACCGCTATCATCACCACCACCACCAGCAATCAAAATATCTTCCATAGGTGTATTGAACATTCCCTCTGTCAGAGATGGCAGTTCAAGCATATCTAACTTTTGCCTCATCATAACTTTGACTTCCTCCACATCTTTGCTCACTTTGGAAAGATTTTCTTTCACATCTTTTATTTCTTTAATTACTTCAGCATTGCTGTCTTTCACAGCTTCCACTTTTTCATTTACTATCTTCCCCATTTCTTGCATTGCTTCCACCTTCTCATCCAATTCTAATAAGCCTCCTTTCAATGTTTTTATATCTTCCTGTATCTGCCCACAGTCATGACATTTCACTTTCCTATATTCACAAACCTCAGTTTCATGGTCGACCTTCTCGTTCTTGTTAATTACCATACCACAATTTTTATTTGAACACAACACAGGGGCGAAGCCACAACTCGCCACATGAATGTCGAGATCCGCAACACAGGTAAAATTAGTACATCCTCGAGTGGCATAATCGCAAGTAATTTTCAGCTTAGATAAATAATTATTTACTAAACGCGGCCGGCGAAGCGTATCAACACTTAAATGTTCATTACATTCGGGGCAAGTTTGCGAATTTACCTTCAAATGTTCACCGATACAGGCGAGACAAAAGACGTGTTCATTATTTCTACACATCCTCGGTTCTTTGAGAACATTGTAACAAATTGAACAATGAAAATTTTCGTCGACATCTTTCTCGAACCTGCTATGTTCGTAGCCATATTCCTTTTCCGTCGGGCAACAAGCCATTATTTACAGCTGACAAAACTTTGCTCTGCTTTCCATTGATATTGTAAAAAAATATATACTAATGATATTTCTAGGTAAGGTTTATCTCACATTGCAATAATTAAAAATCAAATAAATCGAAGGCAAGGGAACAAACACTTCCGCCCTCACTGTGAGTCTGTGACTGCCCACACAAAAATGGTTAGGTTAAAATGCGGAAGCGGAACGGATATGGGGTTAAAATGCGGAACGGATATAGGGTTAAAATGCGGAAATTTGGTTGTTAGTGAAACAATTTAAATTTCGAGTTGTCGCCTGTAGCATCACCATAAATAAATAAATTGTATCAATTCCACGAGGCACGACATTTCTGATGTGTTAGGCCTGTTTCAAACATCGCGCTACTCATGTGCCGAATGCATTAAAAACAACAGATAAGGAGGCACTTCATCATGAGTAGCGCGACGTTTGAAACAGGCCTAACACATCAGAAATGTCGTGCCTCGTAGAACTGATACAATTTATTTATTTATTTATGGTGATGCTACAGGCGACAACTCGAAATTTAAATTGTTTCACTAACAACCAAATTTTGCATATTTTAAAACTTCATTTTAACCCCATATCCTTTTTGTTCCGCATTTTAACCCCATATCCGTTGCGCATTTTAACCCCATCCGTTCCGTTCCGCATTTTATCCCCATCCGTTCCGCATTTTAACCCCATATTCGTTCCGTTCTGCATCCGCTTCCGCATTTTAACCTAACCCCACACAAAATCTACTGTTGTCACTTTCAGTGATTACGGAAGTTCGAGTAATGACTCAGTAATGAATAAACAAACCTTAATTAAAGACTTTCACCAACCTCGTACCCAGGGTATTACCTTCGCTCACCCCCTGCTGCGGAAATATTTCTGGGTACGAGGTTGGTGAAAGTCTTGCCGAATAAAGATTCATTACATATTGTATTAATATAATTACATAGGTGATTATTGAAAATTCTCCACGCTGATTGGATGCCGTTGAGGTGATTATTACGCGATAATCACCTAAGTGATTTTCAAAATGGCGGCCGAAGCCTTTTTGTCAATTAAATGACGAAGAAATGTGTATTTTCTTATTTTTTTCCAAATAATCACCTATGAAATTATACTAAAACAATGGACAACTTGCATGTTAGACTAAATTTTAATCTAAGCATAGAAAAGGGAATCAAACACAACAGCTAAAAAGAACATACTGAAATTAGTAAACTTGCAAAATTTGGCTGCGAAATGTTGTAAAGCTTGGAAAATATAGCCTTGCAAAGTTTGCATATTTTCAGTATATTTGTATTACGAGCGGAAATTGTTACCATTTTCGGCTCAAAAATGGTAACAATTTCCGCACGTAGTACAAATATACTGAAAATATGCAAACTTTGCAAGGCTATATTTTCCAAGCTTTACAACATTTCGCAACCAAATTTTGCAAGTTTACTAATTTTAATAAGTTCTTAACGGGAATTTACTTTTTTTTTTTGCCTAGATCGATTAGATCAAAAATTTGTCTAACATGCAAGTTGTCTATTATTCACCTCAGGCTCTCAACAATTATTAACCTTCAACAATTATTCACCTTCGCCTTCGGCGAATAATTGTTAATTATGTTTGCTGTGGTTACTTTGCACGGACCGTTTCAAACAATGCTTAATACAGGTTCGACTGTAGGGTGAAGTATGAAAGTTTATTCATCAAGTGGATGTTTAAATTCAAAATGGGCAAATAAGATACTTTGCCAAAGTAAGAAGATACTTAGCTTGCTTCGTTCTTGGAATATTTAAGAAGCAATGTTTTTCAATCTCGCGTATTTGCGATGAAAAGTGTCCAAAACCTAAAATCATTTTGGCGTTCCTCTCAAAATTACTTTGTTTCAGGTTTATTTTGAAGTTTACACAGTTAGCAACCTTTTTAAATGTATCTGGCGATTGTAACTCAAAATAATAGTTAATATAAATATTGTCAATTTAAATACAATTATCATTGATGCTGTAAAATTGGCGCCATATTTATACAGCATGCAATATATGAAAACCTTATCGAACTTCAGACATCATTTTCTCTAACTTTGGCGTACCATCTAAAATCTCTTCATTTTATCATTATTTCACTAAAGATACTTTAAGTTTGTTTGCATGCCGCTTGAGAGACGTATAAAAAAACTAAAAAATTAAATATAATCATAAGCAAATGCGTGTAATGTAACATACAAAAGATTCTCCTCTTAATTAACAATTTTTGAATCCACCAATAGCAATTTCACCAATTTACCCTATTGTTCGAGTCACAAATAGGTAACTTTCCTAAAACATTGCTATTGGTTAGTTGGGCAAAAAAGGACCAGATTTATGAATAAACGTTGACTGACATAGATAATAGTGATATTGTTATTCTAATGAGTTTCACAGCCATCTTCCCTTCGATATGATATGGGATATCGTACATCGAAATCATAAACCGTTCATATTATGTACAGTAATTCAAAAAAGGTTGTTAAAATTCTTAAACTGTAAAACCTTAAACCTTAAATTCTAAGCGTGCAAAGCATAATGGGAGCATCATTTAATCAGCTTAGAAATCATATATGAGGCCCATTTCTTAGAGACATGGTGAATATCTCCTTACGAGAACAATTCAACAAAAAATAGCTGCAGTATTCAACTACTAAGCTTGAAACATGTGTTCCCATTAAGCTTTGCCCGCTTAGAGTTTAAGGTTTAGAGTTTAAGGTTTGCAAAGGACAACCTTTTTTGAATTGGCTGGATATTATGTCAACATACTACAAATATGTATTATATCACTGTAAAAACAGATTGGTTGAAATAACGAATTTAAATTGGTTGTCTCAGACGCATTAATTTAAACCAATTTTTATTGGTTAAAACAACCAACAAATTGGTTAAAACAACCAATATTCTGGTTGTTTTGACCAAATAAAATTGGTCAAAAAGAGATGCGTCTGAGACAACCAATATGAATTGGTCATTTCAACCAATCTGTTTTTATATGTCCACAAATTTGAATAAGTTAGTCTATAAGAGTTTAAAGTTTTTTCAAAAAGCATTTTTTTCTTTGCATAAAGTTGATGAATGATGTAATAAAAAAATTAAAATTGACCATATATTCCCAAAATTTCTTAGATTGCTTTGTTCTGTAGATACTAAACAAGGCAGGCACTCAAAATTGAGCGGAAGTAGTATTCTTTGACAGGATTCATTTGACGTTCCTTTTATTTTGTTAGGTGATAAAAGCAGATCGGGAATTCCGTACCAACTAAACCATATACTGGCAGACGAATCCGTGATAAAAGCAACAGCGAATAAAGCTGCAAAGGCTGTAGCCGATAGCGCAAAAGCCACACTAAAAACTCAGCAAGGAGTCAAGAAAATTGCTAAAGGACTTGTACAACTGAAGAACTGTTTACAAACATTCGAAAAGACGATTACAGTTTAAAATTTCTCATGGTTTAGAATACACCCTACCCTAGCAGAAAGTGCTCAGCCTTAGCTGTAAAGCATTGCTTTCGTGATTGCGATTATTGGGTTTCGAGTCCAATATCGTGTTATAGAGGTGACAGATTTACGAAATCATACTGTTATATATATTAGTATAGGCAATAGGATGGTTTCGAGTGTCATGACAACTTGCACGAGTGAGTTTTTCATCAAAATAGCACGAGTCCGAAGTACGAGTGCTATTTGAGGTCTTTGAAAAACTCGCGAGTGCTTGTTTTATCCAAATTTCACGAGAAACCATCCTATACGTATTAAAAATATACTTCAAAAAATCATTAATAATTCATGAGGAAAACACAAAGAAAAATCATAAGCGTGTCGCATCTTTATATGTGAGAGATTTCCCTTGATTTACATAAACTTTAACTTTGATTTTCTCGAGTTACACATCGTATTTTTTTGAAAATTACTTCGCCAATGAACTTACTAGATCGATCGTTTTTGAAGCAATTTAAAACATTCGCAGTGCGTGTTTTATCAGACGTAAAGATACTCGACTTCACCTCGTATCTTTATATCTGAAAAACATTGCTGCTCATGTTTTACATAACACTTGCAAAATTTTGCTCCGATTTTAGGTGCGACGTTCTTCCTCTGATGGATGTGAACGAGTTATGAATATTCAGATAAAGGTACATAATATGTATACTCAGAATATTCATAACTCATCTACCCTTCACATGCATCCGAAGAAGAAAATCGCACCATAAATCGTAGCAGAAATTGCAAGTGTAAATTGGTCTTTAGTCAGAGCGCGGGTTTTTTTTTTAGCCATTTTGATAAAGACTTCAAACTGCGATCGTTCTAATAAAACTCCATTAAATTGAATCGAAATCAATATAAAATGGAGACAATTACAATTGACCATTTGCGTAATAGACTAAATTTTGATCTCAACAAAAATTTCATTACAACTTGAAAGAGCATCACAAAATTAGTAATATTCCAAAGTTTCGTTGCAAAATGTTGTAAAATGCGGAAAATATAGCCTTGCGAAGTTTGCAATTTTCAGTCATTTTAGATTACAAACCGGAAATTGACAGCCTCGAAGGGTTTGGGGCTGTCAATTTCCCGTTTATAATCTAAAATGACTGAAAATTGCAAATTTCGCAAGGCTATATTTTCCGCATTTTACAACATTTTGCAACGAAACTTTGGAATATTACTAATTTTGTGATGCTCCTTCAAGCTGTGATGAATTTTTTGTCTAGACTTGTTTAGTTCAAAATTTAGTCT